TTTGGATGTTTTCCCAATACATGATGTTGGATTGAGTGATGATGTTAGGGAACACGTTGAGATGTTGCAGAAACATGCTAGGAAGGCTAAATTGTATGTTGATAAAAGTGATGAGAATTTAAGGCTTAGGTTCTTTTCGTTTCTTGATGAGTTTGAGAAAGGGAGGATACCTAATCATGTGGATTTAAGATTGTTTTTTGTTGAAAGATTGGGAATTGGGGATGCGGAAAATTGTAGGTTCGAAATCGAGTTTTTGGAAGAGCAGATTGTGAATCATGAGGGAGATGTTGAGCCTACAGCTTGTGTGCTTAATGGATTTGTTGCAATTACCAGATATTGTAGGTTTTTGCTATTTGGTTTTCAGGAAGATGAGGTGAAGCTGCCTTTTGGCAACCAGAAGAAACCTAGAAAAGGGTTGATTACCCGGGAGATTGCCGATACGTTTATAACTATCCCTAAGGACTTCTGTTGTCCGATATCTTTGAACTTGCTGACCGATCCGGTGATAATTTCAACTGGGCAGACTTATGATCGGAGCTCGATTGTTAGGTGGATGGAGGAAGGCCATTGTACTTGTCCGAAGACGGGGCAAATGCTCATCCATACGCACCTTGTTCCTAACCGATCTTTGAAGAGCTTGATCATGCAGTGGTGTACTGCTCATAATGTCCCATATGATCCCGTGGAGACTGCAGATGGATCCACGGAGTCATTTGCTGAAGCTTTGCCAATCAGAGCTGCAACCGAAGCCAATAGAGCAACAACAACGCTTCTTGTTCAACATCTAGCCAATGGATCTCAGGGAGCTCAGGCTATTGCTGCTCGTGAGATACGCTTGTTGGCTAAAACAGGAAAGAAAAACCGCGCTTTTATTGCAGAGGCCGGGGCAATACCACACTTATGTAAATTGCTGTTGTCTTCAAACCCTGTTGCTCAAGAGAATTCTGTTACTGCAATGCTGAACTTATCCATTTATGATAAAAACAAAAGCCGGATTTTGGGCGAGGATGGTTGTCTAGGTTTGATTGTCGAAGTCTTGAAGCTGGGGCTCACATCGGAGGCTAGGGAAAATGCGGCAGCAACACTGTTCAGCCTCTCAGCAGTGCATGACTATAAGAAGAGAATAGCCGATCAGGGAGGGGCAATCGAAGCCTTATCAGGATTGTTGAGAGTGGGGACTCCCAGAGGGAAGAAGGATGCTGTAACTGCTTTATTTAATCTGTCAACTCATTTGGAGAATTGTGCAAGAATGATCGAAGCCGGAGCTGTTACAGCACTAGTAGGAGCTTTGGGGAATGAAGGGGTTGCGGAGGAAGCTGCAGGTGCATTGGCCTTGATCGTCAGGCAACCAATCGGGGCTGAAGCTGTGGGGAAGGAAGAAATGGCAGTGGCGGGGTTAATAACGATGATGAGGTGCGGAACCGCAAGAGGTAAAGAGAATGCAGTGGCAGCATTGCTCGAGTTGTGCCGCGGCGGCGGGTCTGCTGCGACCGAAAGAGTGCTAAAGGCTCCAGCATTGGCCGGCTTGCTTCAGACACTGTTGTTCACGGGCACGAAGCGGGCAAGAAGAAAGGCTGCATCGCTTGCTAGAGTATTTCAGAGGTGCGAGAATGCATCCTTGCATTTCGGTGGACTGGGTGTTGGATATGCATTTGCAGGCAACTCGGCAGCTTCGAACAGGGATTCACGATTCGCAGACGATGTCTCGGTGCCTATGTCCATCTCTGTGCAGGTTTTGTAAAGGCATACATCACAATGTGGTTTATAAATATGTTGTCAATTTAGTTGGTAATATATTTACAAATTCTTTCATTGAAATTCAGACGATATGGAAAAAAAAAACCATTACAGAACTGAGAATATCTGATCCTGTGTTGGGAGAATGGAACTGAGAATATATGAAATGCAAAATCGGCGGTTGTTTCCTTACCCAATTGCTTTGGATCGTTGTCTGTTAATCACAAATGAAACGAAGAAAATAGAAAACAGAGCCCCATTGTTCATTTAATACCAAAATTGAAGTCGTTTCAATTTTCAGCTATTTGATTCGGTGCGATGTTTTTTCATAATACTCACAAGTGACCAGCCCACAAATCGTGTTTAGGGGCGAGCGGTAGATCTACACCAGCCGAGTCAAATTAAAAATAATACGAATTCTATTTTACAACTTAAATTTTATTTGAATTTTTTGTGTCAAATTGAGTTTATAAAATTCGAGTCAAGTTGTTCGAGTTTCTGTTTAAATTTAATTGTTAATATTTATAATATTATGAAACTATTTGATTTAAATTTAAACGATTTTTTATAACGATATATATATATATATATATATATATATATATTTCTTCATATTTTCCCTCGTGATATGCATATACCATATAAAATAAAGAGATTAAACTTAAACTTGAAAATTAATTCATCGATTATTAAAAAAAATTAATTTATTCAAATTATATATTATAATTCAATTTGAATTTTTGGAATCAAATTAATTTCTTTAAGTTGAGTGAAAATTTACCTACCTAATTGCGTTGATAATTTCAGTGGTCAAACTTATTGATTGCTGACTTTGGATGTTGTTTAAGTAGGGGCGGCCAATGAATTATGGTCACGCCATTCTTCACGGTATCATTATCTTTTTTCAAACAGTGAAATTCATGTTTTTGTTGTTTAATTATACATTTTGATTCAATGGATAATTTTACTTAAAAATAGAGTGAGAAAAAATACTTACATAAAATGTAATAGAAATTAATTTTTTAATTTGTATTCGATGAGAGTTATTAGGATTAACAATGAATTTTGTTGAAAATCATGTTTCTCTCTACATCGTCAATACATCAAACAGGTCATATACTTTCTAAAAATTATCGAATCTTGACAACTTTTACTAAGTAAATTTTTTCACCTTATTATTCAAGCAACTTTTCTAACATTTTTTTTGCACTCAAACTATTCAAGCTTTTAAATTTTTCTACTCTTATAATTTTTAATTATATTAAGCTAATAAATATTATAGATATTAAGTTGACATCATTTTTTTTATTTTTTTATTGATTTTTTAAATTTTTTTACATATTTGAATATATTTATCTATATATTTTTAAATTTTTATTTCTTTACAAATTTTAAATATTTTTATTATTTTCAAATATTATTTTAAAATAGTTTGAATATTTACACAACAATACAAATAACTAACATCAAAACACCATTCGGTATTCTCTAATTTTTCGATTTTAAAATATAGTTGTAATCTCAGATACAGTCTCTCATTATTATATATTTTTTAAATGTTTTAATAAATTTAATTCAATTTAATAATTAAAAAATAAAATAAAAAACAATGGAAAAAGGGGTTTGGAAGTGATGGAGGCGAGGACCTCATAGCACGCGCTCAAACGCACATTCAACTCCTCCGGTGAGACAGCACTGATGGGACATTGATGTTTCTTTTTTTAAGAACACGAGGAAAGCATCAGGAAAAAACCTCCACACGTGTTACCGCTTGACCAGCGGCGAAAGGAATGGGGAGAAGCTCAGAGCTTTTACCATGTTGCTTTTCCAAGTCTGTTCGAAGCTCCAATTATGACATATACGTGGCAGTTAAAACCATCTTCATAAATACCAAGGTTGTGCAACTTTTGTTTTGTTATTCCAAAACCAAAATTAGGTAAAATACCCATAGCTTTCTTCTGTCGGTGGAACCCCGTTATATATGCTCCGCCTTTTCGAACCCCATTCGTGGGGGCCATTGCTGTTTCTTCGACCCCTAAGAATGGAAACAATAAACCACTCTCTTCCCAACCTAAAACATCAACCTTGCCTCAACATGCCCCTTGTAAAGAAATCACATGGCGTTCGGTGTTGGATAAACGACAGCCATTAAAAACACTTTGACTTAATCGATTAAGATGGTTGGTTTTGTAAAATCCAAGCAACCCCGTGAACAAATTGGGGAAAAGCAAGGAACAATTTTGAATGCATTTCTCCTTGTAATAACTGATTGATGTTATATGAAAAGGCTGCCACTTGCTGTCTTACTCATGGTAAACTCAACGACTTTGTAGCTGAGGAAATTCAGTAACAAAAGAGGCTGCAGTTGATGAAGTAAATACGTGTATCTATATATATTCAATCTCTTGTAATGGTGTCATGCTCGGTATTTAGTTAGTTGATGGACCACTCTAGTTTTGCTGAGGTTGATTTGTTCCATCAGGTAGGGGACCCCTCCAAGAGGGTTTTCTCATCAACTGTAAAGAAATGCATCGACCACGTAAATCTACCAATAACAACTCACGAAAGCAACATATTAACTTTAAAGAATTTAATTATTGGACTGAAGATATATGTGCTTAACATTGCATTTGTCCAGTACTTTAACGGCATAAACACTTGAGATAACAAAGCTGAAGTACTTTCAACATGTATGTGCTTCCTCTCAACAAATCTATTATGTTAGAAAGTGTGAGGACATGTGACTCGAAGTTTTTGAACCTGGCAACGATGTTACAAAGCTCAGGTATTCGAATCAAAGCCTAAATTAAGAAAAGAAAAAGAAGCTATGATTATTCCGTTTGTTAGTTTGAAACTATCAACCATTGGGCAAGTCATAGGCATACATGTTGAAAAACATACACAGACTCAAACCGGTTTATAGTCATTCCATGCAGAATCTCCTAGGGCAAGGAGCTTCTCCATTAACAGAATCAGAAAGGCAGAATTTCAGGGACAAGATTGAAGGACTTGAGAATGAAAATGAGTCCATTCTTTTAGTCATTTTAGGTGTTATGTAGCTATACTAATTGGCATGGCAATCTTTTTATTGCTTCACATATTCTTGAGAAACCCCGGTTTTAGTGTATCTATGAACTTTGCTTCTAATGGAGATATGGATACAAGTATGCATGTAAAGGTCTTAAACTATGAATTCAAAACTAAAATTGTGAATTGATGCAAATTATACAATTTTTGTTATATTCATTTGAGAAAGTTACTAATCAAATGGAACATTTCTCATTCCGTAAGTCCATTACAGAACTAGCTTGATCCATGTCAAGCCATACCTGCTGAAATACTTTGATGATGAGATCATGGTACACATCATAATTCAGTGTTAGGTAACAAGCCAAAAGCTCTTCTAGTTCTTCTGCTTGACTGATCCTATTCTCCCTGATCATCTCCATCATCGAGTCCCTAAAATCCTTCTCTGGGTCGAAGGAACATTTCACCATGGCAAAGCTCTCCAACTCTCTTCTTTGCCTAGTGTTTGTGTTCTGTTTTTCAGCCTTCATATTCAGTTTGGCCTTCTTTATGTCTTCAAGAGCTTTTATTTTCGAAGCTGTTATCGGAGAAAAAACCCGGACCTTGTTGTTATGCTTAATTCTCCTCCTTGGTAATTCTCTGCTCATGTAAACAGATTTTCTATGTTTCAGCTTTCCGATTCTCTTTTCTTTCCAATTTCCCCCCTCTGAACTAACTTCTTCTGGAGAAAACACAGCATTATCCACCAATTTATGAGCTTTAAATCCATAGTCTTCATTGATTGTTGTTAGATTAGAGGCTCTTAGATTCATTGTAGAGGGATATGGGTGCTTTCTCTGATAATCCACCTTTTCCAAGGTGTTCTTTTCCACTGATTTATGTTGTCTATTCAACCTTTTCTTCTCCATAGCCATATCTCTTCCATTTGTCATATTCCATTTCGAGTCTTTCACCATTATCGTCCTGCTCCTCCGTGTCTTGAGTAATGTCGCATTCTCTCCTTTTGTATCTATTGGTACTGGTAAAATCTGCATATCCCTACGAAACTCTCTCGTCTTCATTACATTGTAAGCCATGTTGTTGAGTGTCTTAGCTTCCTCTTTCTCCTTCATCCTCATTGCATTTGATCCGCAGGCTCGACAATTCGAGGGCATGAAATCGAGCTCATCATCCGAATCATACAAAGCTGATCGCGACACCGTTTTACTAGTCTTGCCACCAGTACTATGTTCTTCAAATGACAACCTCCAAAATGCCTCATCACCACCACAACCAGCGGCAAACTTCGATGAGCTCAGTGACAGAGAATTATTAATCTCTTTTTTCTTCTCTTTTGCAGGTTTGGCTTCCGAATCGACACTCATTCGCTTGAACGATGAAAGCCATGCAGTGGGGAGCATTCGAGAAAGCGAATGAAAGCGAGACCGGGTTGAGGAGGAGGAAGAAGATGAAGATTTGTTTTTTCTCCACTTCATGTTAAAACACCCTGAAGAAAATCCCTGGAACCTGTTGCTTTGAACAAGCAATTGATTTTGTGAAGGACTAGCAGGAAGAAAGAAGGTGAAAGTGATGAGAAGACTGAACTTCCCTTGATAATGGAAGGTTCAAGCAGTTAGGGGACAGATAGACTGTTAAATAGGAACGTGGGTTTCATACTGGTTTTAGTGCCTGTTTTCTTTATCAAAAGAAAGGCCCGCCATGGCCCTAAATCATGTGACCACTTTGCAAACCCTTTTTTATCCACTTGATGATGTTTATACTTGATGACAAATTTATTCCCTCTTGGAGGGGTCCCCTACCTGAGGGAACAAATCTTCATTTATGAGAAAACAACCTTAAAGCAAGCCAAAGTTATAAGACCAACTACGGTAAACAAGAAATTGAATATAAATAGATGCATGAATTTACTTCATCAACTGCAACCTCTTTTCTCATTTAATATCCTGAATCAATCCTCAGCTAAGAAGTCTTTGAGTTTACCATAAATAAGACAGCAAGTGGCAGCTGTTTTCTTATAACAACAATCAGTTATTACAAGGAGGAATGCATTCAAAATTGTTCCTTGCTTTTCCCCAATTTATTCACAGGGTTACTTGGATTATACAAAACCAACCATCTTAATCGATCAAGTCAAAGTGTTTTAATGGCTCTCGTTCATCCAACACCGACCACCATGTGATTTCTTTACAAGGAGCATGTTGAGGCAAGGTTGATGTTTTAGGTTGGGAAGGAAGTGGTTTATTGTTTCCATTCTTAGGGGTCGAAGAAGCAGCAATGGACCCCAAGGATGGGGTTCCAAAAGGCAGAGTATATATAATGGGGGTTCTACCGACAGAAGAAAGCTATGGGTATTTTACCTAGTTTTGGAATCATACTACTACATTGGGTCTCAATGCAGCGTACCGGTTTTAGAGATCACCGCAACATAATATTAGCGCAATGCAATAAGGAAAATACATCATGACTTTTGCGGTCTAAAACCGTTATATAACACCGCAATAGACAGAAAATTACGTCGCAGAACCGCAACAACGCCTCAACGAACATCCAAATTATCAGAAATATAAAATTACATAGATAAAATATTTGAATATTTTAACTTAAAAAAAAAAGATATTAAATATTAACAAACATTTAACTTATGATGCATCTCTATATAATAATTAGAGATTGATTATAAGAATATATCGTTAAACAATAATTAATATTAAAATATTAAAACATGAATGTAAAATATATAAATAAATCACACTCGCAGCAGTCGTTACGCGTTACGTAACGTTTACAGTGTCTACAATCGCAGCACTGCAACCGCATCTGTGACGAACAGCGCAACTGCAATTTAATACTATGATTGGAGCTTTGAACAGACTCGGAAAAGCAACATGGTCAAAGCTGTGAGTTTCTTCCTATTCGTTTCGCCTTTAACAAGAGGTTGGAAGACTTGATACCCGTTAACATGGCTGTTAGCTTTGAACAGACATGGCTGTTAGTTTCAGACATGGTGGAAACTAAAAACTCGAGTTTTGGAACCAGTAATGTTGAAACTAGTGATTATAAAACTAAAAACAAGAGTGAATAGGAAGTTGAAACTTCAAAGAACATGAACTCAAGAAGAAGAATAAGAAGAATACGAGTGGAAGGACTGCTCAAGAGGAGGTAGTAATGGGAGTAGGTGTTGCTGGAGGAATCATCATCGTTATCATCAACAGCAGCAGTGATGGATTCAGGTACAAGGAGGTCTCCTTCATCCTCTTCCTCAAGCAATGCTGCACTGAAGGTATTTTCTATCTTCTTAGAAGACTTTGATTTTTTTCTTTTCTCATCTGATAAAGACAATGAAGGCACATCTTCTACCTACTCTTCTTTTACACCCTCTTCATTTTCAAGCTCGTCATCCGAGGTTGCAATTGCAACTATGTTTTTCTTCTTAGATGACTTCTTACCTGAAAATCCAAATGAGGAGCATCTTCTTCCTTATCTTCTTTCACACCCTCTTCGTCTTCAAGCTCATCACCCAAGACGTGCTAACTTACCAACACCACTTTCAAGCTCGGGAAACCGATATCTTCCTTGTTACCAATCCCAAATCAGAAACCACATGGTTCAAAAGGTTATTATTTTTGCCTTGATAAATTGGTTCCAATATCCATTCACCGATGACAATCACCCTTTGCTCTCGAAGAATCCTTACTTCTTGTTTAATTCTTCCTGGCCGAGCTTCACGTCGATGGTCAAGTTTATAATTTCACCGATTCTACATCTTCAAGACTTACCCACTTTTTATTGTTGGAATCCGTAAAGAACTCTTCTTGCAAGCTTGTGTATTTATTTAGGAACCCAAATGGCCAAATGCTACTTTCGTCTCGCTTTGGCACTTCACAAACAAGCTAAGAGAACAAATATTGAAAGACAAAGTAAAGGTGCATTTGCAGGTGGGGGGAGTGGATTTGAACTCGTCCAAGGCGGTGTAGGTTTGCTGTCCCAAGAACACTTCATTTGCTTGCCACATAGAAGGTCAAAATGATCATTGACTGGTCAAAATGACTGTAAAGAATAGAGGTTTAACGCCACATCATAACGCCGTTATAAGATTAATGGTGAAAAAAAAATTAATGTCTAAAGTTCAGTGACCAAATTGAAAAAACTAAAAGTACGTTGAGTAAAATAGGAGAAATAATAAAGTTTAGTGAGTAAACATGTTATTTACTCTGTTTTTTAATACTTGTTTAGAGTAACGGTCATAAAGATAATTCCGGAGGCAAGGTGGGATTTTCAACAGCTGAGGTTTTATTTTATTACTACTATTTATATTTGGTTTAAATACGTTAGAAGTACATGTACTATTTCAAAACTTAAACTTTATGTTTTTATTTTTTAGATAGAATTGAGTTTATGTATTTCCTTTTGTTTTAAAATTGAATATATACATTATTTTAATTCAAAACTAAACAAACATTATGAGAGGATCTAATATTTTTAAATTAAAAGTAATATAAAAAATAATTTTATAAAAATAAAATATATAAATTAAGATTTACAAGTAATATATGAACATTTGGTCTGATGAGGTGATACATTGGTAAAAAAGAGTTTATAACGGGGCTTGTTTGGGTCTAAGAATAACTTGATTTAGACCATGTGGTTGAGCCAAAATCAAGTAATTATTTGGCAAATCTTAGGAGAAAAAATTTGAATGCTTTCAAATCCAATATGCATTTACTCATCCCAAGGAGTTTGAACTTGTGATAAGTGATTGCAGATAGCAAAATAATTGTTGATATTTGTTTATGAAGTTTGATTATCATTGTTTCCCCATAAATGTTTTAGAAGTTGAAGGATTCTTTACCGATTATTCAACTGGAACCAATTCTCTTGTTTGGATGATTGTCTTTGCAGCTTTCATTTCACTTTTTTGGGATTCCATACTTATCGAGTGTTATCTGAAAGCAAAGTTGGGTCTTCATCGTAATTTGGAGGAAGAGATGAGGTTATCAGCAGCAGTTCAGCACAAGCCTCAACAAGGGTAAGTGATCCCGTAAGATTTTATGTTAGGGGAAAATTTATAAAATTTTAAAAAGACAAAAAGCAGACTTTCAATAAAAGAAATACAAAGAAAAAGTGTTAGAGGAGATAGATCAGTTTAAAAATAAATTTATATTAATATACCACATTATCAAATTAATGTCTCATTGATAAAATTATAATATAAATTGATAACGTAAATGGTTAAACATAACTTTTTAAAAGTCAATGATAAAAACTGAAATAAAATTCTTAGGATGATTCTGTCACATTCGAGGAGAACCATTAACTATAAGTACTATTAATTTAATTTATAAAACTTTAAAATTATAAAGTACTCAATATATAATTATAAATTAATTAAAAATATAAACGTAAATTATTTAAAATAAAATATTAATCACATTATTTTTTATAATATTATTTTTAATAATAATTAGATCAAATATTAACTCCTAAATTTAAAAACCCTAAATTCTTTTTTGCTTCATCGCTGCTGCTGTCGTCGTCGCTACTATCATTGCTGCTGCTACTGCCACCAAGGCTGCCACTGTCGCCGCTACAGTCGCGTCAAAACAAGAAAAAAGAATTTAGGATTTTTTAATTTATAGGTTAATATTTGATCTAACTATTATTTAAAATAAAATTAAAAAATAATGTAATTAATATTTTATTTTAAATAATTTACGTTTTGATTTTTAATTAATTTATAATTACACTTTGAGTACTTTATAATTTTAAAATTTTATAAATTAAATTAATTATGTTCATCAATAGCGTCTTAGAATTTTTCAAAATTCTTATACTTCACCCAAAGTTTAATTCTCCAGGTAATTTAGGGTATTTCGGGGTCCTCGGGAAAGTATTTATCAAATATATCAAATGAAGAACATATGTTTGAAAGAAAAGAAAAAGAACCCATGGTTCATGGCACTTTATCGTCAGAAATAGGGGAACAAAGTGTGTACATGGCATTTTGATTATTACAGATGAAAAAAGAATCTGTAATATTTTTCAGCAAAGTTTGGAAAAGAAAAAAAATCCCTTATCCAAACAGAAAAGATGTATATGTTATATATATGTTTTTTATATGCTTCATTGCGTGGTTTTTGATGAACTTCGAGGCTGCGTGGTTTTATCACCACCATAATACTGCTTAACTGCATCTCTCATGTCCTTAAAATCGTCGCAATACCTCTGGAAAAACTGAGTCAGTTTCTTCAATTCCGTGTCCTCAATGTCATATTCAAATCGTTTTATGGGGATCCCATTTGCAGGTTGCAAAGAATATGATTTAGGGTTATCATCAACAATCACTACTTTACCAAGATCTCTGCCCATCGTTGACAAGTCCTTGATGAATCTTCCCCGACCTATTTGCTTGCACGAATCTCTGTATAAGCGGTGAGATATAAGGCCCTTGGGGTCTAAAACATCTAGCAGCAACGATGCGTATGGCTCGAGGCCGGCGGTGAACACCACGACCTCGTATTTTTTACTGATTGCTTCCAAGAATTCATCCACCCCGGGCCTTTTCAATACGTAGAAGTTCATTTCCAGACCGAAAATGTTTGGTTTAAACATGAAATCATACATTTTTGGTGGTGGGCCTGGAACTGAATGAACCAGGGTCTCGTCTAAATCGAGAACGATGGTCTTCATGTTGTCGGAAACTAATGGAGGCAACCGGTTCCTATTGCTTTTTCTTGATACAAGAACGTTAGTCAGATCGGAATCAGCCTCGAATTCGAGTTGCAGTCTAGGTCTATGTCGGGTTTCGAAGCGGCCGCTGCCGGCTTCTTCCCTCTGAAGGATAACGAAGCCTTGCCCTCGGCGCCTTGCGCCTTCCTGTTTGGAGAAAAACTCAACCAGGCGACGGTGGCATTTTTGGATGGACTTCTTTATGGACGAAATGACGGAGAAATATTTGGTTTTCAACGTAGATGGTCTCTTACAATGATGAACAAGGTGGAGAGGAAGCAACTGGCGCCGCTGGTGATGCTGGCCGTAATGGCCGCCGCGAGTTATGGACTTTGGTTCCACCTTTTTCCCCATCTTCAATGTCATCTCCTGGCTGCCGATATTAACCTGAAGCTGATCGAGAATAATTACTGAGAATTACGAAGAAAATCAAAACCATACAAAATTACAGACAAAACCACAAAAAACAATTAGCAACGTTAAAAATCAACGAGATGGGATTCGAGAGGACGAGATACAAAGCTTTTGAAGCAATGTTCGGTACAACAGTGATTCCTGTTAGGTCGGAACTCGGAAGTAAAAGCTGGATTTCCAACAAATTAGTCAATTATTTTCTTCAAAACAATATTTATTTAATATTTAAATCTATCTTTTACATCATATTTTAAAAATATCCCTTTTTTAAGTAAAAATTTCCAACTATAATACTAAACTAGTCTCAGACATTGACAGTAAGGTTGTCACCTTGTCACCGTACTGGCAACAATAATGCATGAAAGCCGGTGGAGGATCTAGAAATTTATAAATAGAGGTTCAAAATTTTAATTTTTTTTTTTAAAAATAATGGGTGTAAATTTTTTTATTTTATTTTTCTTTAACATATTATACTAAATTTCACTTTTTTTTCCTAAATAATGAAGATGCACTTAACTCCTAAGGGATTAGTGCATCAACCCCTGATGACAGCAAAGGGTTACTTTTTTATGCCTTAACAAGACTGGAGTATAGAAATTTTGTAGTTTGTTTAAGTAATAATTTTACGCTTCCAAATTTTGTGCAATGGTCACAATTCCAAGAATGTTGAAGTTGGACAATGAAAGACTCAAGCTGGCCTTACACAATATGAGTTTTGCTAGTTAAGGTTATCTGATTGGATCAAATAATATACTCAGTTGAAAAAAAAGATAATCATTAACAATTGAAACAAGTCAATACACCAACATGCTTAGCTTAGAATGTCGTCTTCATTGAATCTCCCAAGAATTTTTCTCAATATGTTACTCTAAGAAAACTATAATAATTTCTTGAAGCTATCTCTATTCCGAATGGTTTATTCATGAAAGAAAAATTGTTTAACGTTTTCTTTAGAGAATCAATTTTCTTTTTATCATCTCATCAATTAACATATCATCTACATACAATAATATTATGATAAAGTCTTCGCTATAGTACCTTTCCACAAAGATACAATGATTGATATGAATCATCTAAATGTAAATAATAAAAGAATCAAACTTAATTTTTGTATCATTGTTGTGTTGTATGTTTAAATCCATCACGACTTTTTATGAATAGCCACACTAAGTTTTTTTTTCTCTCTTGAAATTATAAACCCTTTGGACTGCTCAATTTAAATTTCATTTTCTAGGTTTTCATGGAGAAATATTGTTGTCACATCAGGTTGTTAACTTGCAAGTCTAAATTAACAGCCGTATCAACTTGGATAAATGACCTACAATTGAAAAATCTCTTCAAAATCAATTCCTTTCTCTGACTGCATTATTTGACAACAATTATAGCCTTATGGTTTGACATGTTTGTGGTTCTCATCATATTTGAGTCTGAGTACTCGTTTATTTCTCAAGGCACATCTTCCTTCATGTAATTCCACAAGATCATAAGGTTGGTTCCCATATAAAAATTGTATTTCTTATTGCCTATTTTTTAACCATTTTTTATGTGATCGTCATTCACTGCTTCATCAAAGCTTTGAAGCTCTCCCTCATTAATGACTGTCGCATATTAATTTAAGGGGCATCTGTTTGAGGGTCTTCTTTCACGCACTTATTTCTTCACTTATAGTTGAGATATAACTTTTGGTTCACTTGTCTCAATAGTGTGATCTTTTGTTTATGGTTGAGAATAACCTAGTTGATCCACTAACTGAAATGTTATGCAGAAAAATAATTCTTGATATGTCAAGGGGATGAGACTTAAACACATTGATTAAAGAATTCATGGTTCCCGAGCAATTTGGAACCTTTTACTTCTACAAATCAACCAGTAACTAAAGAAACAATTTATTCAAATACATTTGCAATAAACTTAACCAGATGATAATGAGTTGGTGTTGAAATTCAACAAATTCAGATTTTAATCCAACACAGAAGAAGAGCAATAACAATGATTACATTGCGAGTTGCTTTATTCCAATTTCCTGAAAGAAAAAAAAACAAGTTTAGTATTAGAATGGTGTCATTCTTATGAACTTACATATAATAAATATGAGATAAACTTAACAGGCAATCCCCATTTTTTGGTATGTTTAACAACGGATATTGTTGTCGCTAAATGACTGTTTCTAAGTTTTCGAAGGATTTTGAGCAGTGATCAGTATTGTAAACAAACAATCCCTAATTCAGTAGTGAATTAAAGAGAACGTTTAAACTAGAGAAAGATGTTAACAGAGACAGGATCGATATTTTTCCTCAATTCGGGGTTGGAGACGGTAAAGGAGACGGCGGAGGAACCGCGGTTTCATTATAGAATTGGTTAGACTCGAACCTCAACACACAGTTTGGTCTAAGAACCCTGCATCCAATGCTTCCATTGCAACACTTCAGAAGCTCAGACTGAGCGAAAGTTAGGCAAGTATCGCACTTTAGCTGGTACATTTCAGGTGTGCACTGCACCGTAGCATACACCCTTTCCTGGTTACCAGCCGATGCATTACCGGCTGCATACTTGCGAAGAGGACCGGAAGCCGCAGCCTCGTTCCTGAGGTTATCCAATAGATCGCTTATAGCGCTATTGAACTGATCAGGGTTCGATGCATTCCTCGTGTTGTTTGCGCAAGCGCGGGGATCGTTCTCCAACAGCCCGTACAGGTCTCGGTTGACGTACCACACCAAACAAAACTCGGACCAAGCTGTGGTGGTCTTGTTGAAGGGACTTTTAGATTTGGCTTGAAATTAAGTTGACAAGTTGGAAATTTCATATTGGTTGGTGGCCAACTTATTGAAAATTTCATCTTGGTTGGTGGCCAAACTTTGAATATGAGAATTTCATATTTGGTGGCTAACTTGTACACATTGAAAAATTCTTTGGTAGGTGGCTAACTTATTTTTCATGTTTGATCCCTAAAATATTAGGTTATTTATAAGTTTAGTCCTTAAAACTCAACTATAAATAGACCTGAGTATTTCATTAGAAATCATCCCAAAAAAACAAGTTCACTCTTCCTCTTGTATTCTTCATTCTCCCACTTTGGGAATTCTAAAGAATTCCATTTGTTGTAATATTGGCGATATAGTGAAGTTATCATCCGGTGTGGTGCCTGAGGAGTATACGATATTCTCGTCGAACCTCGTAACTTTGGTGTGTTCTCTCCTTTATTGTTTTTATTCGAATTTTCCATTGTGTTTCAATATTCAATAGTTTGACAGGTTTATCCGCTGTGCAACCTTTGGTGGTTTTGATCTGACATTTTAGGTTAATTTTGAAACTACGTTCGTGTGGGAAATAACCCGATTTCCCCAATAATTGGCATCAGAGCTTCAGTTGAGGTTATCCTGGTGGTTCCGTTGCTGAAAAAAATAGTTCGTGATATTGAATATTGTTCGTTAGAATTAAAATGCCAAAATACGGATCAGTTGAGACATCAAGCTCTTCATCCGGACCAGTGAGGAGGATGATGTCAAATGCAAATTTCTCGGTAGAGTTGTTCGATGGATCCAGTCATTTTGGCATGTGGCAAGGTGAGGTGTTAGACGCTTTATTCCAACAAGGTCTAGATATCGCCATTGAGAAAGAAAAGCCGAATAAATGGAGGAGAAAGAATGGGGAACAATCAATCGTTTGGCGTGCATCACGATTCAATCTTGTCTTTCTAGGGAGCAGAAGTATGGCTACAAGAAAGATACTTCTGCAAGTAAGATGTGGAAAGCATTGGAGGAAAAGTTTCTAAAGAAAAGCTCTTAAAATCGTCTCCACATGAAGAAAGGATTGTTCAGATTTAATTATCAACCAGGCACCAGTATGAATGAACACATCACTGCGTTCAATGAGCTAGTGGCAGACTTATTGGGCATGGATGAAACCTTCAAAGATGAAGATTTGGCATTGATGTTGTTGTCATCTCTTCCAGATGAATTTGAGCACCTTGAGACAACGTTACTTCATGGTAAGGATAATGTTACCCTTAAAGATGTAACTGCTGCTTTGTATAGTTATGAGCTCAGGAAGAAAACCAAGAAGGAGAGCAAGTACGAAGCAGCGGAGGCCATTTTGGCAAGAGGTCGCTCGAAAAGTCAAAAGCCAAAGTGGAGAGGGAGATCAAAGTCGAAGTCCAGACTGGGAAAAGATGAATGTGCCTTTTGTCATGAGAAAGGCCATTGGAAGAAAGATTGTCTGAAGCTGAAGAAGAAAGGAAAAGCTGCTCCAGATGTATGTGTTGCAGAGCATGATGCAAATGACTCTGACATATCATTGGTTGCTTCATCAACAACATTCCATTCAGATGAATGGATATTAGATTCGGGTTGCACCTATCATATGTCCCCTAATCGGGAGTGGTTCTCCGATTTAGTATAACTAAATGCAGGAGTTGTTTATATGGGCAATGACAATGACTGTAAAACTGTTGGGATATGTTCAATTCGATTGAAGAATCAAGATGAATCAACCAGAGTTCTGATGGATGTCCGATACGTGCCCAGTTTGAAGAAAAATCTCATCTCGTTGGGAGCCTTGGAATCCAAGGGCTCAGTAGTCACTATGAGAGATGGAGTTTTAAAAGTCACATATGGCGTACTTGTGATGATGAAGGGCATCAGGGAAAATAATTTGTATTACTATCAAGGTAGTACAATTATTGGAGCAGTTGCAACAACTTCCAGAGATGATGATTTGGACGCAACCCAGTTGTGGCATATGCGGTTGGGACATACTGGAGAAAAATCCTTGCAAATTCTGGCAAAGAAAGGATTGTTGAAAGGTGCAAAGGCTTGCAAATTGAACTTTTGCGAGCATTGTGTTCTGGGAAAGCATAAGAGATTGAAGTTTGACACCACTATACATAATACAAAAGGTATTGTGGATTATATTCACTCAGATGTATGGGGTCCTTCAAAGACATCATCTTTGAGAGGAAACAATTATTTTGCAACTTTTGTAGATTACTTTTCCAGAAGAGTTTGGGTGTATCCAATGAAGTCTAAAGATGAAGTGCTTCAAATTTTCCTAAAATGGAAAAATATGATCGAGAACCAGACTGGTAGAAAAATCAAACGTCTTAGGACGGACAATGGAGGGGAATATAAAAGTGACCCATTCTTTGACGTTTGCCATGAATATGGTATTGTTTGACACTTCACTGTTAGAAATACACTACACCAGAATGGGGTGGCAGAGCATATGAATTGAACATTATTGGAGAAAGTTCAATGTATGTTGTCTAATGCTAGGTTAGGCAAGGCATTTTGGGCTGAGGCTGTGGCATATGCTGGCCATCTCATCAATCATCTGCCGTCATCAGCGATAGGAGGAAAAACACCATTGGAGGTATGGTCTGGAAAACCTGCTACTGATTATGATTCCTTACATGTATTTGGATCCACTGCTTATTATCGATCCGAGAGCAAAGAAGGCTCTCTTTATGGGAATCACCCATGGAGTGAAGGGATTCCGCCTTTGGTGTTTAGACACCAAGAAGATAATTTGTAGCAGAGATGTTACCTTTGATGAATCTGCCCTAGTAAAGAAGGTAACAAATGAAGCTGTCCAGACAAGTAGTACTTCGCAGCAGGTGGAGCATACTCCAAAACAGGTGGAGTTTCAGCAGACGATGATCCCAGAAGTTGATGCAGCTGATTCTTCAACTCCAATAAAAGAATCAAAAGATGAAAATGTTCAAACCCAAGAACCATTGGAGACACCAGAACCACTTGCAGTTACAAGGCCAAGGAAAGAAATTCGTAGACCTGCTCGATTTGTTGATATGGTGGCCTATGCTCTTCCAGTTGTTGATGATGATATCCCTATCACTTACCAAGAAGCAATACAAAGCTTGGAAAATGATAAGTGGAAAAGTGACATGGATGAAGAAATGCAATCTCTCTAAAAGAACAACACTTGGAAACTGACACAATTACCGAAAGGTAAAAGAGCAATTGGATGCAAGTGGGTATTTGCAAAGAAAGTGGATCTCATAGCAAGAAAGATGTTTGCTACAAGGCACGGTTGGTAGCTAAAGGCTACGCTTAAAAGGAGGGAATCAACTACAATGAAGTATTTTCCCCTGTTGTGAAGCATTCCTCCATTAGAATAATGTTGGCCTTGGTAGCACATTTGAATTTGGAGCTAGCTCAACTTGATGTAAAGGCGGCTTTCTTGCATGGTGATTTAGAAGAGGAGATCTATATGACTCAGCCAGAAGGATACAAAGATGGTGGTCGTGAGAAATGAGTTTGTAAGCTGAATAAATCGCTATATAGATTGAAGCAATCTCCGAGGCAGTGGTGTAAGCGATTTGATAGCTTTATGAGGAGGCAAAAGTACACTAGAAGTAAATATGATCATTGTGAGTATTTGCAAAAGCTCAAAGATGGATCTTTCATTTATATTCTCTTGTACATTGACGATATGTTGATCGCTTCGAAGAGTCAAAAAAAGATAGAAAAATTAAAGGCTCAGTTGAATCAAGAGTTTGAGATAAAAGATCTAGGTGAGGCCAAGAAGATTCTTTTTATGGAGATAAGCAGAGATAGACAAGGAAGGAAGCTTTGTTTAACACAGAAGCAGTATCTGAGAAAGGTATTACAATGTTTTGGCATGAATGAAAATATCAAACATGTAAGTATCCCACTGGCTTCTCATTTGAAACTTAGTTCTCAATTATCTCCTAAAACTAACGAAGAACGAGAGTATACGGAAAAAGTTCCATATACTAATGCAGTTGGGAGCTTGATGTATGAAATGGTGTGTATGCGTCCTGACATTTCACAAGCAGTTGGAGTTGTTAGCAGGTACATGCATGATCCTAGAGAAGGACATTGGCAAGCTGTGAAATGGATTATACGGTATCTCCAACAAACCGTGGATGTTGGTTTAGTTTTTGAACAAGATGAAGCATTTGGTAAGTGTGTGGTTGGATATGCTGATTCTGATTATACTGGTGATTTGGATAAGCGTCGATCAACTACTGGGTATTTTTTTTACTCTTGCTAAAGCCCCAATAAGTTGGAAGTCTATATTGCAATCTACGATGGCCTTGTCTACTACAGAGGCAGAATACATGGCAGTTTCAGAGGCTGTAAAGGAAGCAATTTGGCTTAATGGGTTGATGGAAGACTTGGGAGTTATTCAAAGTCACATTAGTCTCTATTGTGACAGTCAGAGCGCTATTCACTTAGCGAAAAATCAAGTATACTATTCAAGGACTAAGCATATCGACGTGAGGTATCACTTTGTGCGGGAGATCTTTGAAGAAGGAAAGATTCTACTTCAGAAAATTACGACATCAGAAAATCCTGCATATATGATGACCAAGGTGGTAACAGTAATCAAGTTCAATCATTGTTTGAACTTGATTAACATCATGAAAGTATGAACACCTTCGGGTGTGTGGCGCTTGTGAGCGCAATTAGAGGCACTACAAATTTGGGGAGTTGAAGAAGTTGAGTAGGCTTGATAATTTCAAGCCAAGTTGGAGATTTGTTAGATTTGACTTGAAATTAAATTGGCAAGTTGGAAATTTCATCTTGGTTGGTGGCTAACTTATTGGAAATTTCATCTTGGCTGGTGGCCAAACTTTTAATATGAGAATTTCATATTTGGTGGCTAACTTGTACACATTGGAAAATTCTTTGGTAGGTGGCCAACTTATTTTTAATGTTTGATCCCTAAAATATTAGGTTATTTATAAGTTTAGTCCTTAAAACTCAACTATAAATAGACCTAAGTATTTCATTAGAAATCATCCCAAAAAAACAAGTTCTCTCTTTCTCTTGTATTCTTCATTCTTCCACTTTGGGAATTCTAAAGAATTCCATTTGTTGTAATATTGGTGATATAGTGAAGTTATCATCCGGTGTGGTGCCTAAGGAGTAGACGGTATTCTCGTCGAACCTCGTAACTTTGGTGTGTTCTCTCTTTTATTATTATTTATTCGGTTTTTCCATTGTGTTCAATATTCAATAGTTTGACAGGTTCATCCGTTGTGCAACCTTTGGTGGTTTTGATCTTGACATTTTAGGTCAATTTTGAAACTACGTTCGTGTGGAAAATAACCTGATTTCCCCAACAGGGACAGGATCGCTTGTGCTCGGTTGCAGTGTAGTTGAGGCAAGCGTTGCAATTGGCTTGGTTCTTGTCACCCCTGCAGAGTGCGATTGAGTGAAATTCGTCTGAACCGCTTTCACCAGCCGACAGATTGAAAAAGCCGTAACTGAATTCAGTGAGAGTTGAGAATCGAGAGATGATGCTATTGAGGTTGGCTTCGTAAGCGCTGTTTGCGATGTAATTTCCGCTGGTTTCATTACATTCGCGTACAAGATAAACATCAACAGCAGGAGGCTGTGAAAGAACAACAATAGAAAAGGAAAAAAAGAAGTGAACAAAGAAACAGAGTAAATGTTGAAGACCCCATTGCCCACCTTCACTATTTTTGGCCAATGGAACTATAATGTTGTATACGGGTCGTGCCTTAAATTTACATTTTTATAGGGGGAAAAATGAAAAGTACGCTTGAATGAAATTTAATTAAAGGTTAAAGTATGCAAATGGTCACCGGTTATAGGGTATTGTTTTGTCGATTCTCTTGACAATTAAAAATTACACAATGTACCCCTATTATAGAATGTTGTTTTGTTAAGTCTTTCAACTATTAAAAGTTACAAAATTGACATCCGACTATTCATATGTTCCAAACTCATTTTGTTAAAAATTTAACGACAACCTAAACTGGACGTTAACCTGCTAACTGAGAAATGATAAAATATGATCATATAACTTTAAACAACTATCATATCTCAGCCAACATGTTAACTTTCAGCTAAAAAAAGTCAATTTTTAACGAAAAGACGAGTTTGAAACATATAAATAGTAAATGACTATTTTATAACTTTTAATAATCAAGAAACTCAACAAAATTATACTTTGAAATTAAAGAATCATATTATAACTTTTAATAGTAAAATGACTTAACAAAATACCACTGGATAATCAAGGCATCATTTGTATAGTTTATTACTACGAAATTTGTAAATGAATTTTATTGTCACTTAGTTGGGGTCAAATAATAGCATTTTTTTTTAATTTTAAGAATCATTAATGATGGATTGTAGGATGGAGTATGAGTCCGCTTATAACCAATAAACGAGCTGACCTAAAGCAAGTCAGGTCAACAAGTAAACAGATTTATATAGCGTACGCTAAAAGTTGAAATAAAATTTTCGAAGTTACAAAATAAACATTTTTGAAATATCAAATTATCAAAGCTATATATATTCTAAAATTCCAAAATAAAATTTTGAAAATTCGTAAGGACACATTACATGTTGGATGATGTAATATATAATTTTTGATCAAACATAGATGATTGTATCGGTTGATGACGATTCATTCCTTTTGATATAAACGGAGAATGTATCGGTCGATGACGATTCATCCCTTTTGATATAAACGAAGAATCACTATCGTTGATTAGTTGGTAACCGACTGATTACATCAACAATATTGAACGTATACAATCATCCATGTAACTTGTTACCTATAACTTGTTATACGTCATCATGATTGCTATGTTTAAGTTGATAGAGTGTGTAAATTTAATTGTCAGTTAACATAATTTGTCAGTAAAAATCTCTTAGGTTTATCAAAAGTCCCGTTGAGGACTTATTCTCACCAGTAAATTCTTTTGGAGGTAATTGTTGGTAGATTAGTAGAGTGGTATTCCCGGAGACAGGGATTGACCGAGATAGGCACCCCTAGATAATTTCAAAGAATCATATATTTTAAATATTTTTTTATTTTACATTAATAATTTAGTTTCTCACCCTAAGATAAAATTTTATGTCCATCTCTGTCGAAGTTAAACAGTTTTGTCCCAGTGTTGAGGGAGTTTCATAAAGCGGCTTAACTCTAGACTTGATACTTCAAATATTTATGATGAGACCAAGTGGGTTATGACGGTGGTAGAAGATTCATCCCTTTTGGTTGAGCGGTGAGCCGTAGTTGGTGATAGATCGATTGTTGGCCAGTGTTGATGTTCTCGATCTCTGAGAAGAGGTAGATTTGATTGATATACCTGATCATCGATTGATTTTTCCAAATTATATAAGATCTATTTAAAGTTCATGCTGAAAGATTGTTAATTCCTAAGAGGAAGAGTGCTTTGGAGATTATGCGTTCAGAGATATTCTTTAGGAATCTTGAACACAAATATGTTCTTTGAAAATTTTATTTTCAGATGTGGTATAGTATTCGTGTCGGAATAATCTCATGTGATATTTCCTTTAGCGCTGTGCTTGTTTTATATGTAGGATTCCTAACGCTCCATTAAAATAGATGGTCGTTTCATCAATATATTAGGGTGCTCTAAGTTTGTAGTTTGAGCTCATTATTTGCTTTAGGTGTACATTTATCGCAGAATTACATCGAAAGTCTTTTTGGATTTGCATATTTTCTCTTTCGTATGGTTTTCAGGGCTAATTAGTCATTTTTATATGAAGCTAGTTCAAAGTTTTTTTTTGGGAAACATTTAAAAAAAAGAAATTTATTAGATTCCAATATTGTCAGAGATTACATCTGTTCTTATACAATCCGGCTCATCATAATAAAATCAATGCGGATTGGAATTCGACAAAGCCCATTGGACAAGGCTATGTGCCATCATGTTAGCTTCTCGGTTCACATAGAAAACTTTGATTTCATGGTTTGAGGCTAGGAGCCTTATAGTTTCGTTGAGTAGCAATCCGATGGTTGAAACATCTTCGCTATGATTGGTGAGTCTATTAACAACAATCACCGCGTCACCTTCAATTATAGCGTTGTACCAGCCATTCTCAAGGGCGAATTTAATCCCCTGTGTAAACGCCTCCACTTCCACTGACTCAACAGTGAACGGGAATAAAATTTGCTTACACATCCCTCCCACTACCAAGCCATTAGAATCCCTTGCAACAACGGGAGCATAACTTGCTTGTTGGTTTGTGGGTCCAATGCTCATTGATATCAAAATATTCAGTGCAAAGATTCCAAGCTGCCATAACCATTGCTTTGTCATTCTGAGTGTCTCCATTGTGAAATAAATTGTTTTGTCTATTCCACAAGTTCCACAGGAGGACAATTAATTTACAATTTTGAAATGATCGAGCTGAGTAGTAGCCCAGTCCAACCACGCTTTGCAGGATTCACCCTGCCACTCAATGATGCAGGTTCTCAAGCCTGAGAGCCTCAGGTTATTTTTGCCTTTGGGCAATCCTTCAGTGTGTGTAACGTCGTTTCCAAGACATCCCCACATAAGGGGCAAGCTCTTTTGGAAAGATGAGTTTTTTTAAGTTTTTCTCTCATCGGGATGGCATCATGACAAACCCTCCACCCAAAAATCTTGATTTTTGGCATAATCGACAACTTTGTAAGAGTTTTTCATATTCTTAGGGATCTCTTTCCGGAGGAGAAGCCAGTTGTACCCCAATTTCGCTGAGAAGCAACCATATGTATGATGACTCCAAATGAGTTTGTCAGAGCTGGACGGGGCAATTAGGATACTTAAGACTTTGTCGGCGTCTTCAGCTGGAAGAACTCTCCTGATTTTACCCTCGTCCCATTTTGGAACCACGTGGAGCATGAACTCATAGCATCTTGTTGGGAAATAAACGAGTAATTTCCCTATAACTAGATTAGTGAGAATACGAAATAAAAGCGGAAAAATAATACCCGAAATTGATAACAGAGTTCAACCAATTATGCCTACTTCTCCGGACTGCTGCAAATCTTTTACTAAAGGGAGAAAATTTATAGGTGTTTACAAAAACACTTGAGAGAGAGATAGAATGATTTGGGGATGATTTAGAAGCTAAATGGGTTAGGGTATTTATAGTTGAAGCTTAAGGACTAATCTTGTAAATACCCTAAAGTCTAGTGACTAAAAATAATTTTACCATGCCTAAAATATCAATAATTTTGGCTGCCTACTTTGAACATTTGCAGCCTCCCCAATTTGCAGCTGCCCCAATTTGCAGCCAACTTTGAATTCTCTTCAGCCGCCTAATTTGGAATTCAGCAGCCTGCCATGCTGACTTTTCCAACAATCTCCCACTTGAAGACTGATTTTAATCTGTCTTCACACCTTGATCAATGTAGTAGTATTTCTAGTTTTGTTATTCTAGCATGTCAACTGAAGTTGAACACAACTTCAGTTTGTCTGTAGTCACCGCCCTGTAAACCCACTTGTTATTGGGCAGTTTCTATGTGGTTGCCTTGTCCCTCAACGTCTTGGCTCCCTTCGACTCTTGTCCACTAGTCTTTGAAAGATTGTTCCTCACTTGAACATCCTCGGCAAGCCTATGCTTTGACCCTTCTCTTATAATGGTCTCTGAAGCCATGTTCTCTACACGAACATGCTCGACAAACTCCTTGGACACGGACAACTCTTCTTGCACTTAGCTTCTACTCGCCTTGGTAGAAATGAACCTTATTGAGCCAACTCTCAACGCCTCTTCGATCCTAGGTTCATCCTCTTCTCTGGACAACTCGATCTTGGGCTCATCCATCCCTCGGGTAATTTTGCAACACTTATGACATCTTAAGTCTACGCCCCCTCGTTTACTTGACTCTTACCCTCTGTAACATCCCAAATCAAGGTCAGTGACTAAATTGTAACTTTTAAAAACTATGTGCTCGATTTCGAAATAAGTTAAAAGTTCATGGATTTAATTGAAGAAAGTTGATGTTGGATTTAATGGTAAAGTTTGAAAATAACAAGGGTATTATGGTTTTTTCTAAGAGAAGATTTTTATTTTATTTTTAAGGGATATAAAAACGTGGGAAATGAGATAATTTCTCCAGAGTCTTCTTCAGTCTTTTTCTTCCTCTTCTCCATCGTGAAGCCTTGTATAAGGTAAGTGGGTCTTCAGTTGGTTAATTCTTTCGTTTTAAAGCTTGTTTTAATTCTTGGGTTGTTAAGAAAGATTAAGGAAAAAACTCAAAGATTAGCAAGTTATGAGAAATTAAGAAAAATGAGTTTTTAAGTGAATTTTTGAAATAGAAGGAGTTAATAGATTTTGAAGTTTAATTTGACTTGTCAAGGGTTAAATTAAGAGATATGAAGTGATAGAATGAGTTTTAGAACATGTTGGAAATTTAGTGTGATTCTTGAATGCCATGTAAATGATAGAATTTTGAGTTTAAAGAAGTGATTATGGAGTAGAAATGAGTTTAAGTATGTGAATGAAAGTTAGGAATATTAAAGGGAGTGAAGTATGAAGTGTTGAGCTGAAAATAAAGTGATTTTCGAGCTAAAAATATGATTTCTGGG